TGAAGGTGAGTAAAAACCTCAATACAAAGGTGCTAAAATGCAAAAATGCAGGAACTATAGAGGCAAGTCTGACCATCATACAAAAAACAGTGAGAGAGATAAAAGAACAACACCTAAAGAAAGATACAGACAAACGGAAATCGTGGATGACCGATGAAATATTTGAACTCATGGATCAGAAAAAAAAACAAAGAAAATCTCCAAGACTATAAGAGAATACATACCATCATCAGAAGAAAAATAACAGAAACCAAAGAGAAACAAAAAACAGAACAATGTCAAGAAATAGAGGAACGTCAAAGTCAATATGATAACTTCAATGTTCGTCGAAAGGTGAAGGAAATAGCTGGAAACTTCCGAAAACGCAAAAGCGGAAAAATAACAGATGATGAAGGCAATCTTGCCATAACTAGGGTAGATAAAAATGGGGAATATGTATGGAGTATGGGCAGAATACTTAGAGAAGCTTTTTCATGACCTTACAACAATACAAGAGCCCACCATTGCACAAAAGTCATCCACAAAATAATTTACTGGAAATGCGCGGAGCAAATTACGCCCAATCAGTTTGGATTTGTGAACGTCGTTGGTATGAGGAAAGCTTTATTTAGAGTGCAGATATTGTTTCAGAAATGTAGAGATGTCAGCTGTAATGTTTTTGTATGCCTGATTGACTACAAGAAGGCTTTCGATAGAGTCAGACATGAACAAATGATGGAAGTGCTGGAGCCAAAGGAACCAAATGAGGATTGAACGAGTCTCACAATACAACTGATGGATAAATAATGGAAGTGCTGAAGCCAAAGGAACCAAATGAGAATTGAACGAGTCTCACAATACAACTACTTGGGAACTGCAATCAATGAGTCGTAGGTCAATACACAAGAAATGAAATGTCGTATCGGAAAGGCAAAAAGTGCATTCTTGACTATGAGTTTTGTGTTCAAGAACCATGACCTCACCCTAGAAACAAAAATAAGGCTCCCTAAATGTTATGTATACTCGGTGCTTCTGTACGGAGTAAAAACGTGGACATTGAAGGCAGAAATTGTATCAAAACTTCAGTCTTTTACAGAAGGATCTTGAAGATATCATGGACAGACAAAGTCACTAATGAAGAAGTACTGCGGAGAATGAACACAACTGCGTATTTGGTCAACATCGTGAAGGGCCGTAAGCTGTAGTACTTTAGACATATCATGAGAAATCAAGGCAAATACGAGCTACTTCAATGCATTTTCTTCTTCTTCTTCAAGTGCCCTGTCCGTTGCGAACGTTGGCTATTAACATGGCAATTTTGATCTTGGTTGCGGCGCTTCTGAATAGTTCGACCGATGTGAGCCCGAACCACTTCAGCAGATTTTGGAGCCACGAGTGTCTTCTCCTGCCTGGCCCTCGCTTACTGTCTGTTTTCCCTGGACAATCAATTGTAGCAGACGGTACTTATCGTGTCTCAATATGTGGCCTAGATATTCAAGCTTTCTTTGTTTAATTGTATTCACGATCTCTTTCTCCTTTCCGATTCTTTGGAATACATCTATGTTGGTGACATGTTCGGTCCAGGATATACGAAGAATGCGTCGGTACACCCACATTTCGAATGCTTCTAGTTTCCTCGTTAGCGTCTCCGTCAGCGTCCAGGCCTATACGCCATACAGCAAGATCGGAAAAATGTAGCATTTAACTAGACGTAGTTTTAGGGGAAGAGACAAATCTTTGCTTATGAGGAACTTTTTCATATTGCTAAATGCTGCTCTAGCTCGTTCTATTCTCGCCTTAATTTCTATGGTCTGTTCCCATTTTGCATTTACGTTGGTGCCAAGGTACACATAAGATTCTACATGATCAATTAGTATGTTACTTATCCGTAATTGTCGAGCAGGTTGTTGCTTTTTGCTTATCAACATCCATTTTGTCTTCTTGAAGTTGAGGCTCAGGCCGTATTCCTCACTAACTGAATAAATTATTTCCATTACTTGTTGTAATTCGTCTATGGTACTAGCAAGGATCACCGTGTCGTCGGCATATCTTATATTGTTCGTTAACTCGCCGTTTATTTTTATGCCCTCATTTGCATTTTCCATACATTTGTTAAATATTTCCTCGGAATACATATTGAATAGGAGTGGGGATAATATACACCCCTGACAGACACTTCTTCTGATCTGCACGCTTTCAGTGAGTTCGTTGCCAATTTTTGCTCTTGCTGTTTGACCCCAGTATAGGTTTGCCACAATTCGAATGTCCTTGTCGTCAATACCTGGCTTTCGCAGAATACCTATCAATTGTTCATGATTGACATTGTCAAATGCTTTTCTAAAATCTACAAAGCACAAATATACGTCCTTATCAACGTCTCTACACCGCTGTATAAGCACCTGGAGAGCGAAAATTGCTTCTCTAGTTCCAAGTGCTTTCCGAAAACCAAACTGCGATCTATCAATATTTGATTCACATTTATCATACATTCTTCTATGAATGATCTTAGTGAACGCTTTAGTGACATGATTGATCAAGCTTATAAGCCTGTAGTCATCACAAATCTGGGCATTTAGTTTCTTCGGGATTGTAATAAATGTTGACTGTAGCCAGTTCTCCGGGATTTTACCGCTATTATATATGTTGTTAAGAAGTACAACTAGATCATCAAGGAAGTGTTTGTCTGATTTACGTAGGATCTTTAATATTTCGCAGGGTACATTGTCCGGACCTGTTGACTTATTGTTTTTTAGTGCTGCAATAGCATCTTCTATCTCCGATTTAAGGATTGAAGGTCCTGTGTCTCCTTCTCCATATAGGTGATCATCAGTCCTGTCAGATGCAAATAATTTTTCTATGTATGATTTCCATATTTTTAAGATCGTTGATGGCTCCGAGATTTCCATTAAGATTTCCATCGCTATCTTTTATGCTGTTGGGTGACTTATTGAATTTCCTCTTGTTTGTCATCGATTTTATTTTTTTGTGCATATTGTAACTGTCGTATTTTCGTTCGTATTGTTCTATTTCCCTGCATTCGTTGGAAAACCATTTTTCTTTGGCTTCTCGAATTTTCGTTCTTATGGTTTTGTGGATCTGCTGGTATTTTTCTGCATTTTTATTCTTGAATTTACGTCTTTCATCCATCATATCCATTATCTCATCAGACATCCATTCTTTCTCCTTCCGTCGGTCACGCTTTAATAGAGTCGCGCATGTTGTTTGGATTGCTTCCCTTTGCATTGAAATCTCCCATCACTATGCATTTTACAAGGTAAAATTGAAGGAAAAAGGGCCTCAGGACGAAGAAGAATATCCTGTATTGCTAACACAGCTATTTCGTATAGCAACCAATAAAGTCATCATAGCCAGAATCCCATCTCTCTATTATGTCCGACGTGTTCTCGTTAATGTCCTTTATTTTCTTTCCTAGTTGTTCTCGTACTTTTATTTCGGTTTCTGGGTTAGTGAGTTTTTTAATATCGATTGTGTTTAAATTGGATCTTTTCTCGAGCCTTTTTACTCTCATAACCATTCTGCATACCAACAAATTGTGGTCCGTAGGAACATCGGCACCTGGGTACGTTTTTGATGATTTTATCATGTTTTTATATCTTGTTGGTACTGCTATATAATCTATCTGATTCCTAATGATGTTGTCAGGTGAGTCAGCTGGGGATTTCCATGTGTAAAGTCGACGTTTGGGGAGCTTGAAGAGTGTATTACTTAACAGCAGGTTATATTCCTGGCAGAAGCATATAAGTCTATCACCTCTATCGTTTCTCTCCTCTAGGCCGAAGTTTCCCACGATCTCATTCACCTTGCCTCTGCCAACCTTTGCATTGAAATCTCCCATCACTATGCATTTTACAAGGTAAAATTGAAGGAAAAAGGGCCTCAGGACGAAGAAGAATATCCTGTATTGCTAACACAGCTATTTCGTATAGCAACCAATAAAGTCATCATAGCCAGAATGATCGCCAACTTTCGGAACGGTCAGGCACCCTAAGAAGAAGAGAAGTGACTTGTCCAAAAAAGTCTACATATGTTAGAACAAAACACTTACTGCCATCCAGGATAAGTTCCTGGAGATGATATTTGTTATGTCTCATCAGATAACCAAAGGTATTTCAGCTTTCTTTGTTCCACTGTCAATGTAATTTTTGTTGTTCCCCGATTTTTTGCATCATCCCCGTCGTAATCTATGCTTTTACCCCATACAGTAAAACTGGGAACATGTAACATTTTAGTTGTAGATTTTTTGTTTTTAATTATGACGGTGTATATATGAATAACCGTGTATATATAACAAGCGGAGACTTAAGCGATGCCCTAAAAAGATCGAAAAACGGTAAAGCAGCAGGACCTGGAGACATCCCAATTGAGTTGGTAAAGTATGGACCAAAAATATTACATGATATGTTGGTTCAACTATTTAACAAATGCTTAAAAGGACAAAATATCCCTGATGATGGAATGTTGGATACATCAGCTCAATATTCAAGAAAGGGGATAAACGCAAATTCTCTAATTATAGGGGAATAACTGTTATTAGCTCAGTAGGGAGGTTATAGGGTCGAATAATAAAAGAAAGAATAGAATCAGAATACGAAGACATAGAAGAACAAAATGGATTTCGTGCAGGAAGATCGTGAACTGATCGTTCTGCAGCAGGTAATCGAAAAACTTAAGGCAACGTATCTATCTACCCACCTATTGTTTGTAGATTTAGAGAAGGCATACGATACGGTACCTTTGAAAATATATACAAAAATGTAAGAAGTGTCGGTAGAGAAAAAAACTTATATCTGACTCATTTCCAATAACAAAGGGCTAAACAAGGATGCTGCTATATTATGTTCTTTATGCATTTCCTTGAATATTATATTAATTTACTTGTATTAATATGACTTTATGTAAGATAAACCGTTTTAAGTATTTATAAATATAATTGTGCAATATCCGCAATACAAATATTTTATGACTGCTTACCTAAATCATTTTATTAATTTTATTTTTAGATCATCATGGAAGGGTTCAAATTAAAGTATACCGAGGACCGTCAGAGCACAGTGGACATGATTATTTTGCTCCATGGGGTTATTGGGTGAAACAACCAGCTGATCACTAGTTATAAGAATTAATATAGTTGTTTATCTTTGTTAAAGTTTTGTTATATATTTTGTAAGGACTGTTTAATAAATACCATTTTTAGAAATATTCTAGTAGTCAATTTAACAAAAGACATTTTTCTAATAGGTAGAGGTACGATTTCAAGAATAGGAACTTCTCTTGGATGAAAACTTACAACCCAACCTACAAGATAAATTGTTATACAGTATGATGCACATTAATGGAATACATTCATTTTTTCATGAATAGACACCTTTAAAAAAAATCTTAAATACGTCAATTTTAATTTTTGAATGACCATCAACTGACATATATGTGTTAGACATTACGTCATCAGTGTCGGCGTGATGACATATTCGACGATTTTTTTAAATACAAACCGAGGTCACGCTACAACTCATTTCAAAGGTCTCCTTATCGCCTTTGCAACGATATAATGATTTGAATATTTATTTCTACAGGGTTAACCAAAACTGTTGGTTTATTAATACAATTAACTTACAATAAATGTTTAATGTGTAAAGCCGGGACCGACGGCTTTACGTGCCCTCTGAAGTCGGTGGCAGTTCAGTTAAATTAAAAATTGAAAATTTTGTCATTGCTGGGATTCGAACCCGGGCCCTTCAGCTTGTTAAGTAAGTAACATAGCCATTGAGCTATGGTTACTCTGATGCGCTCCTTTAACTCTTCTACATTATTCGATCGATTTAGCTCGGTCGATACAATCTGCTCTTTTAATATCCTCACAAAACAGTCTAACGGAGTCAAATCTGGAGACCTTGGTGACCATTCGATGGACCCACTTCTACCTATCCACCTACCTGAGAAAACGTTATTAAGGTAATTTGGTACATTATTGCCGTAGTGTGGGGGAGCCCCATCATGTTGGTACCACAAACCATTTCTATTTGAAAAAAGCTGATTCAGCTGTGGCAACAGATAATCCTGAAGAAATTCTAGATAACGAGAAGCAGGTTAGTTTTCCTAAAAAAATATGGCCCTATAATTTGATTGTTTATAATGCCGGCCCAAACATTCACCTTCTCGGGATAATATGTCCTATACTCTTCCATCCAATTTGGATTTTCACTTTCCCAGTATCGATAGGTCTGTAGATTTACGTGACCGTTCAGCAATAAAGGCGCTTCATCAGAAAAAGTACCTTTTGTATAAAACCCTGATCTCTGTTACATTTTTTCCATAACGGTTTCGCAGAATTCGATTCTTCTACCAAAGTCATCTTCTAATAGCTCGAGCTCTGGTCCATCTGGACCAGATGAACTTTGTATGGATGCCACTTCTTTTTTTAGCACTCTTACAACAGTTGATTGAGGGACATTATTATCTAGTGCGAGCTGCCTAAAACTGGTATGAGGATTTTCTTGAAACGACAGTACAACGTCCAGTTTCTTGGCTTCAGATATTGATTTTCTACCACTTCTGGGAAGATCTTTAACATGGCTCGTTTTTTCAATTTTTTTTTTCAATTTTACTTACTGTTGATTGAATAATTCGTTCGAGATTACGGTCTCATAGTGCATTGGCGAATTATCTTAAGGCCAGACGTCTGCCTTTTGCGGCATGCAAAAGATCGCCAGTGTTATTTATTTATGGGATTGGGATATTTAGCATTAAATAACTGACGAACTTGTGCTTGAGTCCTCACTCTATTTCCATAACGCCATAATGCTGTTATTAATGTCGCAAAAAATTCGAAGAGTAAAAATTTGACGTCTATTATTTGACAGATTCACAGATCATTGACAAATAAAGACAGAGTCAATGACAATATTGATTTCAATATTTTTCTAAAATAACTTGGAATGCTTACTACAATAATTAATTTCAGATTATAATTTTTAATATTTGTATTTTAATAGTTTCTCAGTGATTAGAGCAGGTCACGCAGAAATTTTGATTCTCAATTGATTACTTTCAATTATTCCTGTTAATATAGGTTTTTTAAACTAAGCAATCTTTAAATCTTTTGTGGTTATAGTACCCTAAAAGTATGTTTACCTATCTCATTCCTTGCAAGTCTTCCCAATGTTTGGATTTTCAGCGATCTAGTTTGTTCTTTTTTGATTTATTTCTCCCGATGAAATTTGAGTAAAATTAAATTTTCTTTTGTAAAGAAAATCTTTTTTTGTAAAAAAATTTCTCCCTTATTCCATTTAACGAATCGAAAGAGAAGCATTGATTATATTTTTTAGCACCTTTTGAAGCAGTACTCTTTCCTTTCGTCGTTTGTGTATATACACTTCCATATATTTTGTTTATTGCTAATTAATAATCAGTCCATACTGTTTAGCCTTCGCTTCAAAGAAAATCCTCAGTAGTTCCTCTTTAGTTCTTGCCATTAACACTACATCCTCTGCAAAGGTCAGGGCCTGGCTTCTGTTGTCGTAAATCATACCTTTCACTCGTATTACACTCTATCATTATTGCCTCCAGAAAGAAATTGAAACGTATTGTGGAGAGCGGATCTTCCTGCTTTAGTCCCTTTCTTACTTCACTTTTCTGTTAGGCTTCTTCTATCCTTACTCTATCGTCGGTCTTTATTAAAGTCATTTTTACTAATCTGATCAGTTTTTCTGGCCTTTCAAGTACTCTTAAGGCAAGGTACAAATGTCTTCTTATCACAGAATCGTAAGCTTGTTTGAAATCTCTAAAGAGGAGGTTTAGCTGTAATTGTTGCTCGTAAATGCTGCTCTGAATCATTTTTAACACGAATATTTCATCTATGATGGATCTGACCTTTTTTAATCTTCCCTGGTATTTACCAACCTGCTCGTTTAAGTGCCTTTCCAGTCTACTTCTTATGACTCTGGTAAGTACCTTATATGTTATATCCAGAATAGTGATACCTCTGTAGTTTTCTCACACTGCTTTATCTCCCTTCTTATAAATGGGGCCTTTCTCCATACTTCCGACATTTCCTCTTGCTCCGAGATTTCCGTCAGCTGGATACATATCCGCGTTGTAAGTGCTTCTCCCCCATGCTTAATTAGCTCTGCAGAAATACTATTGACTATTTATAAATTACAAGGCAGCCTACGACTCTGCAAATAGAAGAGAATTATTTAGAGCAATGATAGACCTAGGAGTACCAAATCAGTTGGTAAGTCTAACCAAACTAACCCTTGAAAAAGTTGAATGCAGAGAGTTTTAATACAAATAAGGGGTTACGTCAGGGAGACCCACTCTCCTGTGTACTATTCAATCTAGCTCTGGAAAAAGTAATACGTACGTAACAACTACCGGTTCAATATATAACAAATCTGTGCAAATCCTAGCATATGCTGATGATATCAATATTGTTGCGAGAACGGAAAACGCAGCACAAGAGGCGTATGTAACACTAAAGGAAGCAGCTACAAAAATGGGTTTAATAATAAACATTAATAAAACGAAATACATGAAAATAGGTCTGCAACCACAAATACGACGGCCACTTGGTATAGAAAACGACGTCATCGAAGCAGTTAACGAATTTGTTACTCTGGGAACGATCGTCAATACTGAAAATGACACTACCGCAGAGATAAACCGCAGAATTTGCACGGTTAATAGATGCTATTTTGGGATTAATCTCCTTTTTAAATCTACAGTTATATCAAGAATGACAAAAGTAAAACTCTAATACGCCCAGTCCTAACATATGGTTCAGAAACCTGGACTTTAACAAAAAAGCAATGAAAACATGTTAGGATGTTTCGAAAGAAAAATACTGAGGCGAATCTATGGAGCGGTAAATGAAAATGGTGTCTGGAGAAGACAATACAATTTCGAACTCTATAGAATATACCAGGAACCAGATATCGTAAAACACATTAAGATAGGACGTCTGAGGTGGGTAGGCCATGTAATGCGGATGGAGCAAACCGACCCAGCTAGAAAAACGCTCCTTGATAGACCTATTGGTCAAAGAAGAAGAGGAACACCCAGAACAAGATTCCTAGATAACATAGACCAAGATATGAGAAATATGAAAATATGTGCTTGGCGGAGGAAGGCAATGGATAGGGACGACTGGAAGAGAATTTTTGGGGAGGCTAGGACCCACACATGGTTGTAAAGCCAAAATGATGATGATGATGAAATACTATTGCTGCCTGCAATTTTATTTTTTCCATGCTATATACAATTTCTCTTATTTCTTCCACGGTGGAGGTCTCCATTGTTTTTCGGTCATCCGGTTCTTCATTAAGCAGCTCTGTAAAATACTCCTTCCATCTATCTAACTTTCGCTACTTATCTCATATTAGGCGCCCTTCTTTACTCTTGTAGCAATTCTGTTTTCTTGAGCCTTGGTCACTGCTCCTTTTCGCCTCCTGACATAAGTTTCTCACATTTTTATTATTATATTGTTCTTCAATATCTTGTAACTTTTTATGCTCACTTTTCTTTCTCCTAGACGCACAAGATTTATATTAATAGTAATATGGGTTATAAATTTTGCTAAAAATGACGAAAAAACAAAACTTGTTTATTGTTACTAAAAACACAGACAAAAAAACTTATTTCAACATTTTACATTTCTTGACTACATTGTAAAATTCAAATAGAATCTAATCTAAAATGCCAAAATTATCATAGAATGGCAGGAGACATTGAATATGTTGTCTATATATATCGTTGTTAAAAGCATGATGTCGGAAAGGTGTATCTATGAATATATTGTCAAATATGCCATCTTCTCTTTTATCGGCTTTTACAAAGGGTACCACCGTAACAGCTACCATTAAACCTAAAAAAAACACATTAAATACATTTCTTAAAACCCAAAATCTTCAATAGTTATATTTCCACTCATTACGAGGAAATATAACTATTGACAATAATAACATACAACAAACAGACACTTACAAATATCTGGGACACGAAATCAAAATAAGCAGAGACAATCAAACACATGAAATACAGAGGCGAATAGGCCTAACTTGGGCAGCATTTGGCAAATTAAGCCATATTCTAAAAAGTTCAATTCCCATGTGT